ATTCCCTGATCTTTAACGTTAACCTCAAAAATAAAAAAGATGGAAAGTGATTAAATATTTTGGTGTAAATGTATTCATCATTCATACTCGACAGTGGTTAAACGTAAGATGAATATGATAAATAACATTGTTATAATAATCAACTTATTTAAATTGCGATGCGCAATTAATCTATTTGTAATTGTGAAAAAAAAAAAAATCTACACATTGAATTAATGAAACTATATATATTTTGAAAAATGAATGTGATCAGGCGTCATGTCTTTTTGGTTGAAAATGTAAATCCCAACTATCTAGCCACATCCTATTTTTTATTCCTGCCGGATCAACTCCAGGTGTACCATAAGTAAGAGGTGTAAAATAATAAAATACACATGCAGACACAGTTAACAATATAATACAAGTGATTACTGATATATGTTTAACAGCAGCACGCGCCACAATTCGAGGTGCCTTTCCCGGTCCAGCTACTGAAATTGGATAATTTACAGAATCTATAAACATAAAATTAAAAACTATTGCTGCCACAAAATAACCGCAGATTAGTGCAGGAAGATAATGATGGAGAAACAGTGATCGACCCATTAAGAAAAATGGTCCATAGTGTATAAACCATGCCATAAAGAAGAATAGACCGGAATTGTATAAACGATCACGAACAGCTAAGAGAGCAATCAAAAGTAAGAAAATGCATATATACAATGTTATAACATAAAATAAATTATGAAAACAACTTACGTTCAGAAATCGGTTGAATAGCACGTCGCCTAGAGATAAGATCTGCGGATAAAACGCCAACCAGAACAGCCATAGCACCAACAGATAACCACCAGGTAAAGGGATTACCTAATAAATATATCTGTTGCCTCTCATCGTTGTATGTCCAAAAAGAAATACCTCGTACTAAAAATGGCCAATTGATCGGCGTAGAGGAATAAGGGTGTGGTTTCGTTAATCCTGAATTATGACTTATCATAAGACGTTGCAATTCAAAAAATTTTGCAAAAAATGGAAGACTCCTTTTTGGAGGTTCTGGAACCAAAGGCTTTGTTACTAAATTTAAATAAAATGAATGTCATTAATAGTGTACAATATGATAAGAAATAAAAATATATAGATTATAAGCTAAAACACCAACCATTTTTTCCAATAATTTGATCCGCAAACCATATATTACTCCTATCTACATTGTTCTTATTACCGTTAATTTCTTGCTGTTTAAAGGCCCACTCCGGCAACAACTTATCATGCGTCCACAACGCCACTTTTGTATCAAAATGGAGTAACCGCATATAGCTAGATTTCGTTTTCCATATTGTGTCTGAATCACCATCATCTATTAAAACCTGAAAAACAGTCTCATTATAACGGGAATCATCATCTCCTGGCATGGTCGTAAATTCTTGATTGGTTGGCATCAAAGGCGAGGCTACATCATGAGTGAGGAGATACGACTCTGTATTAACGTGTTCAAGTAATATATAATCCCCATGTTTTACAAAATCATCTTCCGGTCTCGAAGAATCCATAAAAATCGTTGCAGGTTTAATTCGCCAATGATTGTTGGTATCCTCATATTTATAACCAGTAACTTGCTGCCCTGTAAATAATGTATTAAATGAACAAACTTTTTTCAAGATAATAAAATATATAAATAGCTGTCTTACCTTGACTACTAATACGCCCATCGTCATATCGAAGTGGATAGCGTTGAAGATGAGAATGTAAAAAGACTGAAGTACTTTTGTGCTTTAAGGTAATCGTGTCATTAAATCTTATTTCTGAAACGATAGAATTTCAAGATGTGAGATATATGAGCTTATAACACGAAACATTACGATTTAAGTGTAAATAGCTTTACCAAGGCTTTCAAGTGACATCACATTTCCTTGTAACGTTTCTTGGAACGCCGGACTCATAAACGAGTCACCAGGACCGCTTGTAGTCAATATGGCAAAATGAATGTAAAACCAAAACAAATAAACTGAAATTGGTACAATGATTAAACCAACAGCACGCGCATAGAAATGCTTTTTGAAATGATCCTATGAGAATGAAAATGCATATTAGATAAGGAAATATCTCGTCAAGTAAATTAAGATTTTGTATTCAAGACAACACGTACTATTGTTAGTCCACGTTTTATATCCAACAAATTCCACAAGTCAACTATAACTGCCATTCCAATGGTGAGGACGGTAAATAGACCAACCAATTTCACACTTTAAATGAGTTAAATTTAAGTGACTATATATTTTAAGATGTAATATTTTACAAGTGCGTACGAATGTATCTACCTTAATGTTAAACCAAGGGTTACTCCGGATGCGATCATCCAAAACCACCATTCGTTCGAAAATTCTCTAATATTAAATAAACACACATGAATAATAATAATAATAATAATAATAATAATAATAATAAATAACAATATAGTCACACCTCTCTAAATGCACGCCCTCAGGACCATAGTAAAAAAAAAGGCAAAATATGCACTTAAAGGGGTGTGCATTTAGAGGAGTTAAAATTTAAATTGCTATATTATTTGGGACCAAGAGGGGTGTGCACTTAGAGGAGTTTTTAATGAACAGTATACTTAGGGGGTGCTACTATAATAATGTTAAAATTACATGTATAAAAATTTCCTATTAACCTACCTTAAGCGATATTTATAAAATCGAATGTAGCAGTAAAAAGTGCAAAGCATAAAGAAAACAAGCATCGAGTCGAGAAGAATTAATCGCGTTTGACAAACCAATGCGTTGTCTTTTGAATGAAAAATAATAGTTTCAATTTTTAATCAAAATCGAATTAAAATATATAAAAATGTTTACCTACCGAATAGCACAAAGCCGGCAGCCAGAATTGCAGTTATTACTGGATACCCGGATTCAATCATGATCATGTAGGTTAAAGGGACAAGGAGTGCGCCTAGCATAGCGGGCAATGATCTAAGTCCAATATATGGAGCATCATTCGTTATATAATCGTCTCCGATATTATCAAATTCAAAATGACCATCATATCCCAGTAACCAGCCCACTGCCGCGAGCATGAGTTTTGCAAGTGGAGGATGTACATCAAAAAAATAGGTTCGTTTTATATAATAGCTCGCGAATTTACCAAAATGGACTTCGTCAAACCTTTTAGATTAATTGATTGATTAATTTATTATTTAAATGATTGAATTTGTCATTAAATGGATCAAAAACTTACACGACTTGATGCGGGTGATCTATCTTCCAAAAGCGGGTTATGAATGATAAGAGCGTGAGGATAGCCAAGGCACTGTTCGAAACAATCTCTTTTTTTGTATATTTTCTAGTTTGCCCTAACTAAAAAAAAAAAAAATTTATAAAACTCCTTATTTTTTTCAAAAGATTAAATGCTAATCTGCATAAGCAAATGAAGTAAAATTACAGTCTTTTTTTCGTCTAAGATTTGTGTACTTTGTATGGAGTCAGGGGGTTCCATAATTTGTATGCCATGCCTTTGGCGGACTATGTGATCCGTCATTGTGGAACTTATAAGTGGAGGAGTTAAAAGTCAGCAGACTGAGTATAAATAAAGAGCGAGAACACCTTTCAGGCGAAATCTTTAAATTTCTTTCGAAGAAAAAATCTCGATTATTTGCGAGAATACGTACGTACGTACGTACGTGCGTGTTCTTCAATATATTTCATAACAGCTTAACGTGGTAGTTGCTTATTGGGTCTCTTCAAAGCCCTTCAAATGACATGCCTTTTTTGGCAGTGTAACGTTATTGTCAAAATTAAAAACTTGTTTTAATTGTTTTATTCTGAAAGTCTATGACTTTGCCATCGTTCTCCTAAAAAAAAAAAAAAAGTTTTTCCTCGGTTTTGTTCTTATCCATCACTTGTTTTTCTTTTTTAAATCTTTCCTCTTGTCAGGCTGTATAATTGACAAAGAATCATATTCCCTTTTTTACCTTTTTTTTTTTTTCTTTTTTTTTTTTTTTGTTTTTTCCTCCTTATATATACATATAATAAATATATATATGATGGATACGTTCACAAGCTTTAATACAAATGACGTTAACCCTAATCCTAATGAAATTAATCTTAATCCTAATGAAATTGACCTTCCCTTTGGATATAATGATATAAACTGTAGTATATTGCTTATGGATACTCCAAGACAACATAATATCAATGGTAAAGATACTCCGGGAACCGATGGTTACCAACCTATTTCAAATTTTACATTATCAAGCGATATGTTGCCTACACCTAATGGTTCTGACCATAATGCTTGTTCGGAATCAATCATTATGTCTCCCTACACTATGTTACCAAATCCTGCGGAAGGCACTTTTCGTGAAGATGGGGTTAGTTAAGCAACTTTTTTATTAAACATATTTGACCATTTAACATTACTCATTTTAAAACATTTATAGTTTTTTTTAGAGTCTTTTCTTCCCGGTTATTTGTCACCACCTGTTATTTCACCAATCTTACAACCTGAACAATCTATAGCAAGGCAAAACGATCATAAATCAAACTCTACTTACAACCAAATGTCTAATAATCAACACTATTCGCCATTAAATAAGCCAAAAAGCGTAAACAATTCCGTGACACAAGTATCAGGAAAAAATTCTAGCCCTGATAACAGTAACAACATTGAAAATAGTAATAACACAAAAAAAAATATAAACAAACTGCCAACTATCATGACGGGTTCTCCATCAATGATGCCTGATATGAACATGTCTTTAAAAGACTTGGCTTCATCGATGACTACACAAGAACCTATGCCAAACTTGAATCTTGGCGGTAATCTTGTGTCTGAAGTAACACCGACACAACCTTCATCTGCACATCTTTCAGATGGCTCATCCTCTTCCTTAAATGGCACCATTGCTCCAATAACGCCTTCTTCTCTTATGAAATTGAATAATAAACAATTTTCCACTCTTAATTCTATACAAGACGATCAAATAGTTAATACTCAACAAGTACAAATACAAAATCAACAAACCTTTAGTAAAGAGACAGGACAACCTACTTTTATAGCACCAAGATCAAGGATCACAACTTCTGGTCCGCAACGTATATTGGTAGTATCACCTAATGTGTCGCCAATATCTCCAAGAATGAATCCGGTGACAATGTCACCAATTATTTTGCCACATTCGTCCGGAAGAAAAATTGTTCATACGAATCAGGCTGTTTGTTCTCCATCAGCGCTTAATCCTTCAAAGAGTCCTCAAACATTAAAGCCTACAATAAGTCCAAGCCTGAAACCAAAGTTACCAGGTGTGATAGTAGAAGAAGTGGCAGAAAAATTAGCAAGTCAATCAAATTATAAAAACATTTTAGAGGGAACATCAAAGTATGCAATATTTTGAATATTTTTAATGTAGCACGAAATAATGAACTGAAATCTTTGTTAAATTATAAAAAGATCACTCGGTATATCCTATTCGTCTGATGTACACTCAAGTCTAGAGTCTCGACGCACGACACATAAAGCTGCTGAACAAAAACGTAGAGATTCATTAAAACAAAGCTTTGATGAATTAAAAAAAGTAGTTCCATTGCATTCCATTACAAGCAATAATATTAAAGGAAATAACAAAAACGGCTGTGGAAATGATCGTAACACCACAAAAGGTAAAAGTTGTGACAGTAATGGATCATCGAAAAATATCTCTAAATTACTTTTACTAAAGCGAGGTGAGTTAATTTATGTCTTGGTGAAATCCAATACTTTTATTGCAAATTATTCATTAAAATATTTATGATAATAGCGCATGATCATATTGTTGAGCTTCATCAACAGACAAAAGAAAAGGATGAACTTATTCAAAAATTAACAAATGAACTTGATGAGCTTAAAGTAGCGAAAAAACAAAAAGTTGAGCATGATCAGAAAAGTGATGATATGGAAATAACTGACGACAAGACAGAGTATTAAAGAAATTAAAATGAATACTAATAAGTTGTCAATAATTTTGAACTTTGCATATTTACTGATATATTTCTCATAATTATTTTTCCGAGTTTTCTTTCATAAAGCATGGTTACTATTATAATGCATCAAATTATCTTTATACAAAATGTCGTATCTAAAGTTACTATCTATCTGAAGTTGCAACTTTAGATATATAAAGTTGACCTGACTAAAATTAATCCCCTGAAATTAAATCTTCGTGCATATAATTCTGGTTAGGTGCAACTTTATATATCTAAAGTTGCAACTTCAGATAGATAGTAACTTTAGATACGACACAAATATGTTAATTCTTCCTCATATCTCCGTTATTACAAACTTTAATTCGACGATGCTTTGACTTAAATAAATTTTACAATAATAGGTCTCTTAAGTTTTACGGAACTATAAAGATTGGTAAAATCATTTTGCGTGCTTCTTGGTAATATGTAGTCAACTCTTGATAAGTACATGAATGTGCAAACGAAAGCTGACTAATTGTAAAAGCCCGACAATTACAACGCAAAGGTGAAAAGGTTTTGTTTTATTTTCACCTTTTTATTGTAAATTTTAAAACCGAAATTGAAAAAATATGATTGAAAAGTAAATCAATGATTTTTGTCTACACTTTCAAATGTCTTCATAATGTAGAGTTTATATTACTTCTTGTCAACTTCTTCTGTACCAAACCAGATGAATTGAAATGAAAGTTTGCAATTGATTAATAACAGTAGGAAAAGAGTAATATACATAATACCTCTAATTCTTCAAGAGGAAAAAGCACCTTCAATAATGCATAATCTTCCTTATTTGATGTAAGAGAACAACTATCAATTAGCCCAAAGCGATACTACATTCCCGTCCATACCGTATAGAGACAAGTAGACAAGTGAATCTTGTGTAAAATTGGTTATTTAGCAGAGCCCATTACAGTAAAACATCTGTCAGAATGAACCTACCTGCAAGCTCCATCTGTATACATTTTGCTTTTTTCTCGGTTAATCGTTTAAATATTTCAACTTCTTGAGGACACAATTTAAAGAGTCTCGCAAATTTAAATTCAGAGAGGCTTCTCTAGATGCACACCATAGGGTCCAAACTTTCAACAACATGCATGTAACAATAAAAAAAGTGCATTTATGGGAGACAAGTATATACTTGTTGTGTGTACATTTAGAGAGGTCTCTCTGTACTTTTTTTAGTGAAGCAAAGATATGCCAAGTAGACATAGCCCACATGCCACTCCTCCGTATAATGCTTCAAATTTATTGAAGGTTTTTATCAGTGTGCTTTTCATTTCTATCCATACGAGCTTTGATAAAAGAATTCGCATTTTTATTCCTTGAGTCTTTTAAGCAAAGATAAAATTTAAATATGCAGCAAGTACTTTAGTACAGAGACCTCTCTAAATGCACTCTCTATAAATGCACCCTCTATGTAAAATCTCTTTAAATGCACAGTATAGTCTGGTCCCGGCTTATAATAGCACTATATATTTTG